TGGAAAAGTTCCTAAACTTGGAAAATAGGCGCCTCATGAATTGTCTGAAAACAACCTCAAATCCCGAGTTGACATCTGCTCTTCTCTCCATTCTCGCCAACTTGTTTCACCTTTTTTGGATAGATTTGTGACAAAAATGGATCTTTTATCGGAATGTTAAGCGTTGTAGACAGTGGCTTGGTAAAGGAAAAGGACCCCAGTCACAGCCGAGAAGGGAACTTCATAGGCAAAAGGTTCTTCTTTCAATCTGGTGAGATCGCCAAGGAATAATCCACTTTGAATTCTATTACCTAATACAACAATTAATGCTCAAATATACTGTCAGTAATTAGAGCATTTGAACCAAGCTTTGAGGAAAAAAAGACCTGCTCTAGTGAATTGAAAAAAGGTGATGTTTCATCAGGACAATGCCCGACCCCACACAGCAAGAATCGCGTCACAAAAGATCGAAGAACTTGGTTGGGAGAAAATTTCTCATCCACCTTATTCTCCCGATCTTGCTCTGTGGTTCTACAGAAGGATGTTGAGAATACCATGGACTGAACATGTGTGAAACGATGAATTTGTAGAGAAAATTGAAACTAAAAGGACTCTTATAATTAACATCAGAAAGAGAAGTTGAAATTTGTAGAGCATATAATGAGGAAAGTGGGCTAGGTGAATTTGACACTTACATGACATACTGAAGGCAAGAGTGATAAATGAAAAAAACTAAGCACAACCTTCCTAACAAGCTTTTGAAAATGGATGACAAACAGGTCTTAGGAGAGATCGCAAGATTTACTAAGAGCTACAAAGGGCAATAAATTGTATAGACACATGTAGGCGTACACCATATAAAAGAAATAGGAGAAGAGAATTTCTTATTGACGGACACCAGCTTAGTATAAGATTCGAAATTTGATTCGGGAAAACAAAACGTAGTCTTAGAAAATTTCATAAATTAAAGCAATAACTAAGATTGATTTTTTAACCAGCATCTTTTTGGGTAAAATCTACTTTCAAAATATTGCAGGAAATTATAGAGATGAAACAAAGTTTCAAAAGTTAACAACAACAACAACAACAGAAAGAAATGAAGAAGTGCAAAGCCACCGTCGTCTCTGTCCTGAATTTATTTGATACGTAAAAACGTTGTATAGAAAAAAAATGATAAATAAAGACTATAAATGCTTTAAGATTATGGTATACGTAGCTTACCTTAGATTAGACGTGCCACAAGGTTGAAATTTGGGAGCATCCAAAGGCTTTAATTTGATATTTTTTTTTTTCTTATTCTTTTTTTAAGATCATATTCTCATTTAATTATTTTCCAAAATTAATTTTTCTCTCTTTCAATTTTTCTCGCGTTATATTGAGCTTTATTTTTAATGTAACAGTCTTTCTTTCTTTTTTCTTTTTTCCTTACTCTATATTTATTTTTCAGACGACAAAAAATCTCTCGTTCTTTCTAATAAAACATTTTGTCTGTTCTTGTTCTTTATTTTTCAGGTGATAGCATTTTTTTAGATTGTCATTTTTTTTAACTGTTTTCTTTCGTTGCTATTTTGCCTCTTTGATATATCTATTTGTTTTTTAAATATCAACTTTTTTTCTGTTTTCTCTTTCTCCCTTTTTTTCCAGGGCGACATACAGTCTTTTTCATTTTTTCTGAAAACGATATTTTTTTCTTCCTATCATTTTTATTAACATGATATTCTTCATTCTTTTTTTTCATTCTTCTGCTCTGATCTTATTTCATTTTTCTGTCAATTTTTACTTTGACATTTGTTTTTTGTTTTTTTAATTTAATAACAGACTTCTTTCATTCTTTCTTTCATTCTTTTCTCTTTCGTTTTTCTTCATTGAACTTTTAAAAGGTAAGATTAAACATTAATTCAATGCTTAAATGCAGCGATCAATCTCCTGTAGTTTATAGATGCCTATCGCATCTACTCTTAAAATTTACTACCTACTGCAATGATGGCCAAACCAAGAGTCCTCCACAGGAGCTAGCTTAAATGTCTCCCGATATGGAGGCTCTTAAGCTAGTTTAAAATTTTAGCTAGCTTAAAATTTTAAGATAGCTGCAATTATGGATATAAAAGGAAAATTAGAGTTACTCTCCTTGAACCACGAACGCAACGATAATGGTTACTATAATGTATATATATATATATATATATATATATATATATAAACTTGCATAATCTGTCAACCCTGAATCTAAGCTCAACGAAAATCGTCCCCTGTGCCTAACTTTTCTAGGGCTTTCGAAGGAACTATGAATCATTGAAATCGGACCAGATGGAGCGGAGGAGTTGTCTTTCCTTTTCATTTTCATTGCTTGTTTTTCTTTTGCTGCTTTCTTTCTATATTTCATTCTTTTTCAGATGTCTGACTTTACCGATTGTCGTGTCTTTTCTCTTCAATTCGTTTTTACTTATACTTTTCTTTCCGTTTCAGAATATTCTAATTCATTTGTCTTCTCTGTCGTCTAATGGCCGAGACAAGACGGCCGTCAAGAAGACTGTTGAGCCCTTGTCACTATGCTCGGCCATTTATTTTCGAGTGTTATTATTCCTTCTCGACCTGGATTCCACGCTCGAAACTTTTTTTTCTTAAATCGATAAATATGTACTCTCTAGGAAGAACTTTTTGTCGACCACATTGTCGACTACGTTGTCGCCTCCACGCTTCTGTAAATACGTAAAACACGTCATTCACACCCATTCTGCCATTTGACGCTCTTCATTCTTGATTTGCCAAAAACAAGTATCACGTACCTCCCCGATAAAGAAACCTACTGTACATCTTTGCTGATTCTTTGCCGTTGCATTTCTACTAGTATCCCGCCTTTAATAATTCTCTTTCCTTCTTTTTCTCCTTTTGCTGTCGTTTTAGAGGTAAGTACATGCGTAAGATAAACACAATTCTAGCAAAAACATTGGTGATCACAGATGTTGATATTTTGCCACACTTATGCACCTATAAAAACACCAATTTCTGCCGTTTCTCGACAGCACGTCAGACTCAGATGCGCCACACGTTGATGAAATGCAGTCAAGAAGAAGATGACAGCCATTATCTAACGATTCCTCTTAGAGCGATGTACTGTCTACAGACTGTCGAACTTCTCATTAGCCTGGTGCTTATAGAGGTGAACAAAAACATACTGCTGTTAAAGAAAACATTAACTACTGTCACATCAGAAGACTCTGTAACTTAGCAAATAAATCGTTTAAGGAAACCAAAACCAGAGTGATCCCGGTTCAAACTATGCAAAAGTTAAGAGCCGCTAACTGACTATTAAAGATAAAGAATTCATGAATAAGGCTGTTTTAATGACGTGACAAGATGAAGTAAGAAGTGTAGCTAATGATATGCAGGTTTGGTTTGTTTTGTTTTACGGCATATCAACCTCAATGGGTCGTTTAATGCCGACAAAATTTTCATTTTGGTAATATTTTGTTTCCAAAAATCCATTTCTGGTAATATTCCTTCCTTCAAAAAAAAAAAAAAATTTTGGTAATATTTTTCCTTCAAAATTCTTTTTTTGGTAATAATTTTCTTTTGCAGGTATTATTTGTTTTTCAAAAATGTATATCTTGTAATATATTGTTTTTAAATATATCCCGGGTAATATTTTTTTTCCAAAAATGTATTACTGGTAATAATTTTTTACAAAGTATTTCTGGTATTAAAACCTATTTCTACACTATCATATTGTTTTGACCCTAGTTTGGGGGTTAACTATTTGCCCGTGGACCTGGGAACACCAGCAATTATGAAGAGATTCCACGCTCCTCAAAACCTCTTGATCAGAGGCCTTGTTGTCTGACGTCGTTTATCGTCTTACTCAGGACGCAGATGTAGTCTATCGTCATACCCAGGACGGAATGATATGTAGGATAGATAATAGTTGAACCATAACTTGAAGAGGTGACGATTGTAGTGATCGGGGAAGCATCTTATCGGGAATCTGTTACAAAACAGCGGTTCTTGGGGAAAAGCTTTCTTTCAATCCAATGGAATACGGAAGGAATTAGGATGATACAATCTTTTGGACGGAGCATAGTGGCTCTTAGCTTTGATTCTTCCCCCTCCCCGTTAGTCATTTGCAAAAAAAAACAACATAGTTTACAAATTCAAGTGCCCTTTAGGAGAGTGTATCTCCAATGGATTAAATAATATTTATTTTGGTTACACCACAAACTCACTTTCACGACGCTTGACTCTACATTTGAATGATAAATCTAACATTTTTAGGCATTTAAAACAACATGCCTGGCTGCGTACATAATTCCGAAAAATCCTCGTGGAAAACACAATTATACTTATACATGAAAACAATAAACAAAAACTAAAAATTCTTCAAGCTATATACATAAAACAGTTGAAACCTAACCTGAACAAAATAAACTACGAAATCTACACAAATATTCTTAAATGCATATATTTGATAACAGAAGCCATTGTTTTATACCAACAGCTTCCCATACATAATAATTCTCGTTTTCACTCTCGCGTGGTCATGTGTGACATCACGAGCTCCGAAGCGATTTTCGCTTCCGCGTCTCGTATACACGAGTTTGTCGTTGCTTTTAAATTTTTCCTGCAACAAAAACAGACTATCCTTATTGTTTCGTCCGTGTATTGTTTGATATATTGAAATGTAATTGTCATCTTTGATAATGGCTTATGTAAGCCGAAAGCTTAGATAGGATTTAAACATGTATCAATACGGTGATTTCCTTTCGTTTTTCAATGATAATGTTATTAAGCTTATCAGACAATATGAGAGGAACTTACTTAAAATAAATTTTGTTTCAGATAATAATAATTTAGTGATACAAGTTTTATTAATCAACATATAACTGCTGGAAGAGGAGGTGGTTTCAGACATTTCTCAAGTGTATTTACCCGTAAGTGAATATAACGAACCAGACTTGGATTGGAACTCGGCTCTCCGATTATCAATTTCGAGCTATTATCCATTACATCACCTGCACATCCAACCTTACAGAACTTGGTACTTCCAAGCGTTCACCCATCTAGGTACTAACCAGGCTTGACGTTGTTTAACTTCGGTGATTGTACGGGAACCGGTTTTTCGACGTGATATACCCGTAAGCCTGAAATAGTGAGATATGTTGAAAAAAGCAAACTACCCTTTTACCCGAAAGACATAAAAAAGGAGAGAGAATTATTTAGAAGAAGAAAAAAAAAACATAAAGGAAAAAAAAAACAATCTTTGCAGATCTGATACAAAACGTGTTCCACTCATATTACTTCCCTGTGATGAGCTCGTAGAAAATTCGTATGAAAACATTGTTGACGGTTTTTGTTGTTCGGCTCACTCAACAGGGGTGCAATGATAACAACGTTGTTCATCTGACATTGCCGGCTGGAATGTTTGACAAGCAATATGCAAACACAAGAAGTTTTCCTTATTCTTCAACCTCCCCAGGTCAGCTAGTCTCATTTGCTCTCCGTATAGATAAAGATAACGAAGTTACTCGTCGTGTAGATAAAGATAATGGAGTCTCTCTTCGTTTAGATAATGATAGCTGGTTAATATTTCTTTAGATAAAGATAGCGGAGTAACTCGTCGTGTAGATATAGTGGAGTATCTCTTCGTGTAGATAATGATAGCTGGTTAATATTTCTTTAGAGAAGCATAGCGGAGTAACTCGTCGTGTAGATAAAGATAATGGAGTCTCTCTTCGTGTATATAATGATAGCTGGTTAATATTTCTTTAGAGAAAGATAGCGGAGTAACTCGTCGTGTAGATAAAGATAACGGTGTTACTCTTTTTATAGATAAATGTAGCAGAGTCAATCTACGTGTACTTGAAGTAGCGTGTTACTCTACGGGTAGACAGAGATGATGGGAAACTCTTGGTGTAGTTAAAGATGGCGGGGCACTCTTCACGTAATTAAAGATAGCATAGTCAATCTTCGTTTAGATAAAGAAGACGGGTTACTCTTCCTGTAGAAAAAGATAGCGGTGTAACTCTTTGTGTCGATAAAGATAACAGAGTTACTCTTTGTGTGGCTTAATATAATGAGTAACGCTTTGTGTAGATAAAGTTAGTGGCTCACTCTTCGTTTGAATACAGACAGAGGAATTACACTTCGTTTAGATAAAGACAGGGGATATACGCTTCATGTAGCTAAAGATAGCGGAGTGACTCTTAGAATAAGAGGGGAGGTGTTCTTCATGTAGATAAAGATAGCGGAGTAAATATTCGTTTAGTTAAATCCAGTGGAGTTACTTTTCAGATACATAAAGACAGCGGGGTTACTCTTCGTTTAGATAAAGACAGGGGAGATACTCTTCATGTAGTTAAAGATAGCGGAGTCAGTCTTCTGTTAGAAATAGAGGGGAGTTGCTCTTCATGTAGATAAAGATAGAAGAGTCACGCTTCTTTTCGATAAATATAGTGGAGTTACTCTTCATGTCGATAAATATATGAGATTCATTCTTCGTTTAGATAAAGACACTCTTCATTTAGATAAGGATAGTGGAGTCCCTCTTTGTTTAGATAAAGGTACTGGGTTTCGTGAATCATGATTTTATTTTTCCTTTAACTTAATGTATGGATTGTTTTAAGTGTGTACATAAAGTAGAAATAATATCATCCTTTATAATGGCTAAATGTATAGCCGAAACTCTCGGCCAGACAATACCTTTGTATAATTTCTTCTACATCATTTATGGACATAAAAAGAAGAAAATTATAAGAACATAAAAAAAGTTAAATAAAAAAAATTAACCGGAGTAACTTGCCAGTCGCAGTTAATGAAACCATATATATATATATGGAATATGTGAGCGAGCGAAGCTTTGTTGAGTCTGATTTGGAATCTCTTCGTCACCGATGCCCACTTGGGACAGTTGGTATGATGTCAGCTTAACAACCTAACTGTCAGGGTTTCAATTCTCGGAGGTGGATGCGCACTGCTGATGAGTCCCAAATCTAGGACGAAACGGCCGTCCAGTACTTTCTGCATTCTGTAGAGGTTTCTATCAGACTCGATGAATTAATTAAATTTATCAAATCCTCCGACTAATTATTAATATATATACAAATGAGAGAAAGAACAGATGGAGTAATATCTGCTGTTTGTAGCATTTTATTTTTAAAAAGTGCTCAATACAAAGTAGAGAAATACATTATTATTATATTTTTTTATTATAGGTGATTATAATAAAAATATTTTGAAATCACAACAGAAGAACTTTCATATTTCAATACTATGAATGTACATTTTACGTCAGAAGAGGCACAATCATAGTATTGAAACATGGAAGCTTTTGTGTAGCGATTTCAAAATATTTTTATTATAAGTGATTATTATAAAAATAATATATATATATATATATATATATATATATATATATATATATATATATAATTAAGTTTTGAAAACTTGGTAATCCGCATAAGTAGTCCCAAGGAGGATGAAATCCTGATAGCTCAATGTTAATCCAGAACTAAAATTTTAAAGAAAAACAGACCACTTTAAGTTACCATTATAATAATTTACTTCACAGAACCCTTTTAAAGGACGCCGGATCATCAGATAGCACTTTTTTAGAAGTGCTATCTGATGATCCGGCTCCTTTAAAAGGGCTCTGTGAAATAAATTATTATAATATAACCTTCTGTGGTCTGTTTTATATATATTATATATATATATATATATATATATATATATATATATATATATATATATATATATATATATTGTAAAAATCCTCTTTGACATGTTTCGTCGAGGAAGCGGTGTCATCATCAATACATTTTATTTCACAACACCAACATCTAAGTTAACGAGGCCAAACGCAATTTTTCATAAACGGCTGAACTGTAACGCTTTAGATTTTAACTAATTGCATTACTTTTTCTGTTGCTGATGTAGAGTTTGCTCTTGTGAAATGGAATCATTTTCTTTTTCCCTTTCGAGTAAAAAATAGTTATTAGTTTTATATATCTCTATTTAAATATTTCCACCATTGTTCTTTATTTTTTTTAATTAATATATTTGTGAAACTTTGGTTGAATATCATTACGCCGATGAAAAGTTCGAAAGCTATTAATAGTATGTGGTTATTTCATTTTACCATTGCAGCAAATAACATTATTGTACTGGGTTAAAATATTTTTTATGTGCTGACTCCTTGTGGAATATAGGCGGTCATGATCTCCACAATTGCCTGTTGATTTGAAGCTCTAAGCAATATGTTTTCCATCTACATCCATTTACACATAATCGTCAGATAGTTAAATCGCTTAAAATATGTTGTTAACTGGAGCAAGAAATGCCTTTTTAACACCAACACTTATAAAAACAAAACAGGACTCAATCGTCTGAGGAGACCGATTTTGCCTTCCGTCACTATGCGAAGGACTCCTTGCTGCGTCTTCTCGGACTTAAGTTTTCCGCTGACATTAGTCAATTGCTAGATTTACTGCTAAGAATGTTATGTCGTGCTAGAGAATTTTTATCACCAAAATCTGAGGCATTTATAAGTCTAATATTCATCCATACTCTGTTTTGGTTTGTTTTACGGTATATCAACCTATATCAATAACCCGGCTATAAATAATGTAAATAATGATAAATCTTCATTCTAGAAATTGTTCTTCTTCTGTGTGCCTTGTCCATTCAGAATATGCGCGATCATGACTCGTCACTTCTTATCTCCTGTGGACAGTTTTATTTCTCGCTGTACTAAAGTTCGGACTACCTGATCCATTCACACAAGCTCATCAGGTAGGATGCTCTCTGACTTTCCTCTACTTCTATTACCCCCAGTATGCCCTATGTTGGTTAAGTTTTTCCAAGCCCTGCCTCGTTATTATACGTCCATTAAATTCAGCTTTCCCTTCCTGGCTCAGAGCATAAGTGTTCATTTTGCAGCCATTTGCTTTACGACGACTTTTTCTTCTCATACAATCAGCAACCCATCATGCCGAGGGCGAGGTTGCTTGGGACGTTGAACGAGGCGGAAAATTTTTTATAATCCTTTGCTCCCACCAAACGGAAACAAAATGTAAGAATGGTGGAAAGACGGCATTCGTTTGTTCACTAACATAAAGAAGAAAAGTGAATGCTCTTTTATACAAATTTTATATTTGCAATTCTACCCCTCTCTCACCGAGGAACGTCTGATGGCCGCAATAAATATGGCCAACAATTACTAGACCAGAAGCAACCAAGACATTGCTTTCAGCTTCTTTTTTAATTTCCTTTAGTGTAACCGGTAGCTCTCTTACAATGTTGTTTACCATGCTTTTCACCTCATAATCTGCTCTGATATTTGCAATAATTGATTCTTCGAATCTTTCTTCTTGACTCGGTATGAGCTTGATAAACTATCCGCATGAATTATATTTTTGGATGATAGTTGCTTTATGTGAAAATCATAATTGAGAAGAATGGTACCCCATCTCAACAGACGATTTGCCGTATAAACGGGTAACCCTTTCTTTGAACCAAAAATAGTGATCAGTGGTTTATGATCCGTTTCAAGCATAAAATGTCCGCCGTGGATGTATCTGTGAAATTTTGTTATGGCAAAAATGATACTCAACGCCTCTTTTTCGATTTATGAGTAACTTCTTTCTCCTGGGAGTAAAGTTCTCGAAGCATGTGCAATTGGTTTTCTAGAACCATCTGGCATTATATGTTGAATACACGCTCCTATCCCGTATGAACTGGCGTCACTTGCCACTACAATATCCAGTTTTGGATTGTAATGGGTTAAAAAGAGGTCGGACGTAAGCATTCTCTTATTTCATCAAAGGCTTTCTGATATTCTACCGTCCATTCCCATGCCTTGTCTTTTTTAGCAGTTCATTCAACGGAGCTCTTAGATTATACATTCCTTTAATGAACGCTTGATAATAATTTGCAAGCCCCAGAAACTCTGTAGCATCGCCACATTAGTGGGCGTCGGCATGTCTCTAATCGCAATGGACCTTTCCGGATCTGCCCTTTTTGTTGATTATGTGACCTAAATACTTAATTTCCTCCAAACCAAATTCGCACTTTGACTCTTTGACATTAAAACCAAAGTCCTGAATCTTTTTAAATACTTGATTGAGATGCTCTCGATGTTCGTCGACGGTTTCGCTCCTTACTATGGTGCCACTTTAATACCAAAAGGAAGCCTGTTGTACTTGAATAACCCTCTATGCGTGTTTATCCCTAGTAACTTCGAACATTCCTCTTCGACGGGAATTTGGAGATAGGCATCTGATAAGTCGATTTTCGAAAATATAACTCCACCATTTAGCTTGTTAAAAATCTCCTCCGGACTCGGTAACGGGTAATGGTAGTCCTTAATCACCGAGTTCAACCCTTTCGAAAAATCAATGCAGACTCTGACTTGGTTTGATTTCTTTTTTATGCACACAATCGGCGCAGCCCATGAATTAGATTCTACTTTTGAAATAATTCCCATTTTTTCCAACCTATCAAGTTCTTCGTTAATTTTCTCTACACTTGCGAAAGGCACGTTACGTTTCTTTTTAAAAATTGGCATAGTATTTTCCTTTAATTCAAATTTAGCTTCAAACTTGTTACATCTTCCAAGACCAGGTGTGAAGGTTTCCGGAAACTTTTCTTTAATTCATCTTTAATGTCCTTGTCTTGTTTGCGTATTACTTTCTACTTTTCTGCAGAATGAGTTTAACGGTTTATCCCACAATTCGAATGTTTCAATAAAATCTGTACCCATCAAGTTTTCTCCATTTTCAGAATGAAAACTTTTATTTTTTAACTATCCCGTTCAATTTCATGGGAAGTACAACCTCGCCTTCGAAGTTAATTTCCTTTCCAGTTACCGTTCGAGCGCATTTCGTTGACTTCATTATTGTAGGCCTTTTTAAAATTTTCCATGTTTTATAGTTCATTATTGTTAAATCTGAACCCGAATCGAGTTGAAATTTGATATTCTTTTTAAATATTTCAGTCGTCACATATTTCCTCAAATCTCTGTCTGATTTTATATTTGAATTTGTTTGTCTAATTCGGCTATTGACTTTTTTCGTTTTACAACACGATCCTTTGTGTCCATTTCCTATTTCTATATGGGCAATTTACCTCCCAGTGTCTTTCGTTGCAACGTCTACAATTATATGGTGGAACCTTTTTTTCCTCCTCGTTCTTTTCATGTAATTTTTCTTGTCTATTTTTAAAATACGCCGAATTTTTACTCCAATTTTTTGCTGATGGGTAATTTATTTTTTTAATATAAGCAATGCCAGTTTCTTCGATTTTTTGAGACTCTTTCTTTAAACTTACGGCCCGCTGACACTCCTTAGCTAACTTTTGTAGGGTAAGGTTTTGTTCAGATTCGAGTTTAGCCAAAACTCTACTTCTTATTTCGGCACTTTTACTGGATAGCAGTCTTTGAGCAAAAATTAAACACTTGAATTCTTCAACCGTAATCTCTGCCAATCTGAAATTGTCACAATGTCTATTCACTATAGATGCATATGTTAAGTAATCCTGATCGTCGGATTTAGCGACATTCATGCATAACCATCGCTTATGCCAAAGCGACATATTTGATCAAACAACTCCTTTAGCAATTTCACTGTTTCCGAGAATTCCAATTCATTCGTTCTTCTCGGTAGAATAAAATCTACAAATTTGCTATGTTCTGCTGTACCAAGCTTTCTTAGTAATAGACTGACTTTTCTTGAATTCGACCAGTTTTTCACAGTCTGTGTAGAAAATATCTTCATATCGTTTAAAGTACGCTTCAAACGTTTTTTTCTCGTCTGGCCCATAGTTGAAAGTTTCCAGCAATTAAATATGATGTTATTAGAATATGAAGAATTTCCTTCGTTTGCCTGATTGTTGTTTAATTTCTCCAGTGTTAACTTTTGAATTTCTAAAACCTTGATCTGCATTTCTTCCTGTTTTCCCAGTCTTTCCTCTTGCTTTTCTTGATATTTTTGCTGTCTTTCCTCTTGCTTTTCTTGATATTTTTGCTGATTTTTTGTTTTTGTTGTGCTATCTGTTGTTCCCTTATTAATAAGGCAAACTGTTCACTTTGACGTTGCTGACTCAACTGCTGGGATTTGAATAATTCAGATATGACTTTGGATAATTCATACATCTTTTGCTGATAGTGTTCATGCAACAAAGAATACACTTTTAATTTGTGTATCCACGGATATAATATAATCTGACCAGAAAAATCGAAACAACTTACGACTTTTTTATTTCATGTCTTGCTTTATAAAATATTGTTGAGCGACCAAAAAAAAAAAATTTTTTTTAAAAAGTTCGTTACCTTTCAAAGTCGACACGGTGTATTTGTGCGTCTTTTAATTCCATGCATGTTTTTGTAGTCGGCCCTTTTTTTTTCTTTTTTTTTAAATCACCGTTATTCGTTTACGACACCTTTCAAATTTTTCTTAGTGAACGTTCCTTTATGCTTAGTCGTCCTTTAACGAGTTCTAAATATCCAGAAATTCAGAATCCTTCGCCGTTCCATTAGATGTTGGACTTTTAATTAATAATTTTTTCCTTCAGCCTGGGTTCTTCAATGACTTGTCCCAATTGTTGAAGGCTATCAATTATCAATTCTTGTTTTTTTTCGTATAGTTCTTTCTACCTCGTCGCCGTTGTTGAAACTTGACTAATGCATGGAATAATAAGGCAACACAAAATGTACTTAGAACAAAATGTATTGAAACAAGAAAGTGTACACAATATTTACATATAGTCTTTTGTATATTCCTGGTAAGACCGTTTCTGGAGAATGTGTTGACTGAGTCGCAGTCGGACAGAGTCTCTGGTTGAATCTCTTGATTCCTCCCTCTCTTCCCGGTACCAACCATATTTATATGGTCGGTACTCCACTATGCAAATTAGGTGGATCCTACCACAACAATATATATATATATATATAGTCATCCACAGAGAGAGTGTTTCGCTGTATCACAGCTCATGAGTGTGAATAGACATCCGATTGCTTCATCAAAACACGGCTGATTTATCTTCATTCGGAGATTCTAACCTAAGCAGGCGAATTTTAGCGTATTTATTTTTAGACACACCAGTGACAGAGAGAATTCGTTGGAAGAGTCTTGCATTATCAGCAGTTTACAATTTCACGCTTTCTTGCCGAACCTAATTAATTTTTATGGAGCGTATATTGTCATACACAGACATACTTATTTGCTGTATCACAGCTCATCAGTGTGGCTAGACATCCATTGCTTCCAACCGAGATCGATATCCAACTGATTTGGTATCGGTTAGGGATTTTACCCTTAAGCTATTGGCAGAGAGGAAGGTAAAATTTTAAACACCCCCCAGTAACCGAGAGGACTCAATTCGTTAGAAGAGTGTTGAATATATATATATATATATATATATATATATATATATATATATATATATATGTAGAAAGAGAGAGAAAGAGAATATGCACATGTATACATGTATGCTGACAGAAACACACGAAAATGGAAGTAGATCTAAGAACACACAGTGGTCATTAAAACATTAAAGGATAAGATATCGATGCCTAATTCAGCATTTCTCGAACCAATCTTAATTGTTTTATCACCCTTCGCGCAGATCTCTTCACTGCCAGTTCAAGAAAGACATTCAGATTGCTAACAAAAATAAAAGAGAATATCTCATATCGAGAATATTCAACATCGAAAAACATAAAGGAGAAAAAAAATAATTATTTTTTTTAATATGTGTAAATCTCCACCTTATACCTGATGACGGTCGCGAGACCAGAAAATTATGGAAAATAAAGCATATTTTTTTTAAATCCACATTACACCCAAAAACGTTTGCGTATCTCTTTTCTTTTTAATATACACACTTTTTGGAACCACTATGGCCTCTTCCTTATATATATATATATATATATATATATATATGAATAAAATTAAACATCCGAAGAAATAGAAACATATGGGAAAATAAGAAAAGAAGTGTGTATACCGCAAGAGGGATTATGCTGAATGATAAACCTCATTTCATGAGAGCATCTTGGTCAGCCTATGAACTTTTCAACCAACTCTCGTACATTCTATGGTTACAAAAGACTAAGGTAAGCACAAAGGTCTCAGGGTTATAAATTGGCCAGTAAACCAATGATTGTGAATATCTGAGAATCAATTTAAACGTGATTCGGATAAATAATTTAGAATGTAATTTCATCATAGCATTTTATTATTAGGCGGCGAAATATATATATTTTTTTCAGGTAAAAGGATTTCTCTTGGTCAAAGCAGAGATACAAATAAATATGATTAAATATTCTTCGTTTATTTTTCTTTCGTTTTGTTTCTTGTGAATATGTGCTGTCAGGAAATAGCGAAAGAATTCGATGAGCACTGAGACGACAGAAAAAGATTGTATGGACACCTATTTCCTGTTCACGTCCAGGAACACTCATCAATTTATAATGATGCCATTACAGTCAAACGAGCAGAATTATTAGCTGCTTCGACTGATATATCCTGACTCTTATTTCATAGATATGATCTATCTATCTATCTATCTATCTATCTATCTATCTATCTATCTATTCTCTTTCTGCTCTGTTCATATTTATCTATATATCTATCTATCACTGTCTTTTCATATCTATCTATCTATCTATCTATCTATCTATCACTGTTCATCTCTATATATCTAATATTTACCTATCGCTCGCTCGATCTCTGTTCGTTCATATCTATTTCATTATATTCATTATCCATCTATTAAACGATCTTTTTTAGTTTGTTCATATCTATCACAATCTGTTCATATCTATCTATCTATCTATCTATCTATCTATGACAGACTGTTCATTATCTATCTCATTCTGTTTACTTTCTATATATTGATTGATCAGTTTTAGCTTGTTTATATCTATTAATCAATCTGACGCTGTACATATCTTTCAATCTATATATATATATATATATATATATATATATATATATATATATATATATATATATATAAATGAAAGAAAATACAGAAAAAACAAACAAAATCTGAATATGCAATTATGTAGTATTAATGTTAAAATAAAGTCGACGTCGGACGTTTCGGTCTATTTAAGACCATCATCATGGACATTTTCATTTAAACATAATTAACATTAGAACTTATAAAAATTTTAACACAAAAGACGATGGACATAAGATCTGTATAAAATTTCAGTTATCTGTTTGGATTAGTCGGGCTCTTATGTCCATCGTCTTTTGTGTTAAATTGTTATAAGTTATAATGTTAATCATGTTTAAATGAAAATTATGATGATGGTCCTAAATAGACCGAAATGTCCGACGTTAAACATTAATACTATATAATTGCATATTCAGATTTTTTTTTTTCTGTATTTTTCTTTCATACTTTTATATCCATATATTTGCTTACATATATGTAAATGTAAACATACACACAATTACAGATACACACTGAACATATCTACCTATCTTTCAATAGATATATATATATATATATATATATATATATATATATATATATATATATATATATATATATATATATATATGTGTGTGTGTGTGTGTGTTTTGTATGCGTGTGTGTGTGTGTAAGCATACACACACACACACACACACATTTCATATATTTCGTTTTCGGATCTGATAAAGGCTAAGATGGCGAAATGCATTATCGTTTATATTTCTAAATAAATCTATTTTCATAAACGTTTCCAGTTGTCAAAATGTTTTAAAAATTTATTTATTCCTTCTCATTCATTACTGGCTCTCATTCGAGTCTATATTTTCCTTCTGAAACAAACTAGAACTATTTATTCTGTTGTATTTATTTGCCATTTCCCCCTTATTTTCTCTCCTTTTTAATATTACATTGTATTTTATTCGTACCGCCTCGTTTCTTCCAAGTTTTTCTGTTGTCCTGCGATACTTGGATTATACTAGATTGACACTAGTATAAAGCATATACATTGTATATACTTTATACTTGTTGCCAATGAATTTTCAGATGAGGTTTTTGCCGAAAAAATGGTTAACTTCCAAGTGAAATATATGTGGTTTTGTCTGTAAATACACACACACACACACACACACACACACACATATATATATATATATATATATATATATATATATATATATATATAAGGCTAGACATTTGATTGCCTCAATCCGGAATCAAAAACCCGACTGGTTTGGTGTCAGTCGGAGAATCTACCCCTACGGCTGGGATAAAAGTAAATTTATTTTTTTTTAAATAAACACGCCAGTCACTGAGATAACTCTTATTTGTTTATTCGAAGAGTCTTGCATTAACAGCAGTAATATTCACTGTCTACAAACTCACTTTTTCTACCCGAGAGCTGAATGGAAATATTTTTTTCAAGTGTATGTATATATTATCCACGGACAGACTGTTTCGCTGTTTTATATATATATATATATATATATATATATATATATATATATATATATATATAGAGAGAGAGAGAGAGAGAGAGAGAGAGGGCTTATTATCAACCAATCTAGCACAATATAAATCAGAATTCAAATGTTTGGATAAAGAGCGACAGTGATCATTGTATCAGGACCAACGACCAACCCAACAATATGAGATATCCATTCAAATGTTTATGTTTGTAGCAGCAGGTGACATATGTGATACAGTGACATAATATAGAACATTCTGCTATTTTGACATTGTGTCAATCACCTGTGCCATACAATGCATCCTCCCTGTAGAGGGAGGGTTCATTGCATGGCACAGGTGATTGATTACTTAAAAAATTGACTTGTGCAGGTTGTTCAGAAAAAAAAACTGCTGAAAACTCATCTGTCGTTCTCGACGGTAGAATCCATACATTCATATATATATATATATATATATATATATATATATATATATATACAAGTATATGATGATTGGTGTATACGGAATGAATTCCAATAACCAACAATTACTATTCTTAAAAGAGTGCGCAATACAAAGATATAATTATTTATTTAAAAAAAAAATTATAACATAAATATTTTATAAAATCACTACAAAAATAGTCATTTTGTTTTATCATATAATTTAGTAATTGTTGGTTAGAATAAATTATTTTTTTAATATTACTCGTATTTTAAAGATTTGAATAGCTATTATAACATGACTTCTTTGTCAAGCTTTTTGAATTTTCCTATACTTGGATTTGGATTGGTCCATCTAGCTTTTTGTAACAACGTTTTCCCCCTGCGAAAGATTGTTAATTAATTTGAAACTTTTAAAGCCATTTATTTTACTTTCAACATCATCACTTGATAAGACAGCGGGGGTGTTGAAACAAAATGGCTATTTTTGTAGTGATTTTATAACATATTTATGTAATAATTTTTTTTAAATATATATATATATATATATATATATATATATATATATATATATATATACAGTAATATTAGCTCTATCTTTATAAGAAAATCAATATTAATTGAGCGAGCAGTCATATAATATTAATATTAATCTGGATAGTTAGTATTCTGTTATGTGCATTACGACATGACATGGCCAAGCATCTGAAGGTTTCTGGAACTGTAAGAAGCGCTAATATATCGACAATTTTTCATCTGATACAAAAGATGAGATTGTAGTTCACATTTGAACAAAGATTAAACGCAAAAAACTTTCTTTTGTGATGTCAACGAACAATAGTTGCCACTTTTGCGATGCCAAAGTCACACTGGATGTCACACTACTTCCTATATATGCGATTCCTCTATGGTCACGTGATCCACTTAATTCAATAATAGGATCACTGTGTTTGCTCACTAGCGATCTATGTTCAAAATTAAGTGTCGGCAGCGACATTTTATTTCAAAGATAACACTTTCTCGTTCTTATTTCTTATTCTGTTTACTCTAAAACATATTTTACAAAATTGGGGGATCTTTCTTTTCAATCAATCATATTCTGATAGACCAACTAGATAATCAATGTGTTCCTTGAACGATCACAGAACTCACCTCTGGTTTAAACAGCAACTATGCTGAGCAGACCTTAGTGAAAATCTTTTGGTGAAAGTGCATGATCTGGTTTGATAAACAATTTGAACAAGGATATCATCCTCAATGGTTAACGGTCGTACATACAAGTAAACAGATTGATATATATATATAGAGGATAGAACAGAATAGTTGATCAATTAGACGTAACGCTAATTCCCATATATATATATATATATATATATATATATATATATGTATGTATGTATGTGTGTGTGTGTGTGTGTGTGAGAAAATATATAGAAAATAGGAAAGTACTCGTTAGGTAAAGAACTCTTATGTAGCGAAGGAATCATATTTTTAAATAAATAATTATATATATATATATATATATATATATATATATATATATATATATGTGTGTGTGTGTGTGTGTGTGTGTGTGTGTGTGTGTGTGTGTGTGTGTGTGTGTGTGTGTGTGTAAATAAGTTTTTGTGGTACAGAATTTAATAATAGATATGAAAAGAGAACATTTACAAGGCATTTTTAAAAGCAAATTCTAAAATAAAACAACCGATTTCGTCCCAGGACTTATCAAGTTTATTTATTCTGAGAATTTAAAAAAGCGTGTAAATTAATTTTTAATTAACGAATGTAATCGAATGGGGAAAGAAAAAATTATGAATTTCAAGAAACTAGTCCAATAATATTCAGACCCAGCAAACATTCCCTCTGTTTACAAAGGGAAGGCTCACGGGATCTGATATACAAGGACTCTAGAACTTGAGGTCAAATGTGGAGTGGGACCGAGATAAAATTATAAATCGGTCACCACTAAAATTTTACAAAAATTTCCTTCTATTTATTAAATGTTCAGCAATCGCAGAACCAGACTTGTTAGTCAGTTGGCTATTCCTGGAGGACGGATTCAAAAATCCTGGGGGGTAAATGCTGTTTTATCCTCGAATCCAAACGCTGGATATATATATATATATATATATATATATATATATATTTCTCAGAGAGAATCCGAAAGTAATTCCAGCTCAGCCATCTACAAGCGTTAGAGAACTTTTGCCATACCCTACCAACCTATATATTCCTGCAAGATAACGCATGCGAGGATTGGTTGAAAGTTTCATAGCGTGACGATGAAGGAATGAAGCTAAAATTGTGCATGCAATAATTTCAACTGTTATTATTAATAAATCCATTGTTTCTTTTTTTCGGCATTGTTTCTTTTTTGACATCTGGCTGTTCAAAGAAACCTTCAAATGTAACTTATAGAATTTGGTATTGCGATGTTATCGAATACCTTCAGAAAAAGTGTTTAGTTACCAAGAAAGTTCTTGGTGTCATGTTTTTTACATTAAGAGTCAAACGCTCCAGATTTATCAACAGTGCAAAAGTGGGTAGCTGAATTTAAGAGGAGAAAGAAGATTTTTAAAGATGATGGCACCACTGAGAAAAAACATTGATCCTGTTCACCAGATGATGATTGGTGATAGAAAGGACGAAACTTTAAAAATCTTAGAATTCTCAATTTCAGTAAATATTATTGCTCTTTTCAGTATTGATGGGAGATTTCTGTTTAACTATTGTTTTTCTTAGTATTATTAAAGTGAAAATCTTGATCGTGTGTCCTTAGATTTTGCTGTTGTTTTAAATCCTCATGTGCTGGGGTTTCGGTTATTTCGTAAAGGTCTTTATTTACGAATCTGCAGCGCCAATCCAACACATGCGAAAAAAGACGGTCCTCGCTAGCATGTAGATGCTTCATTACCTCGAAACCATTTTGCCAATTGATCATTGGACTTGTTTTATGTCAGGACATCCATATTAAGTTCTGGATATGATGAGGGCATTTTAAAACACGACTCAACTTCGTAAGCAAATTTTTTTCCTTGTAGCAAATTGCGGTGTTGAGCAAAACTATCACTCGTACAGCCTATTCAAATGACTTCATCATAAATACGTTATATCTGATTCATACACTCAAATATTTATTTTGGGTGTCAGATTTTATTATGCAATCCAAAGGTTGTTCAGAATGTTGTTGATAAATGGTAATGTTAATATCAGCCGTTTCCTTATAAGGAAACATTCAGCATGCATTTAACGACCAGTACTACACTCTGTTGAAATTTATAAAATCTTTTCTATTTTGAGAAATAGATTTCTCAATTTTCCGATATCACATATGTGCACGTTCCGTCATGAATAGATACTTGCAGAAGTTGCTGATAATTGGGATAAAAAAGAAAAGAAAAAAAAACATCGTGGCGGCGTATCAGGCAAACATTTCTGGCTGGGTAAATTGGATAAAAGTATCAAACTGTAGGTCAAGTTTTCCCTTTTGCGATGGGTGCCCTTCTAGGAATCTTTCTGCATCCTCAGAAGGCTTGTGCATTTGGTAGCGCAACTTCGAACAGCTTATATGCAGAAGAAAGTCTTGTATCTTTAAGCTGCGGATAGGAGATGAGATATGACCACCATTAACTGGTCGAAACACCCCAGAGCCGGAGACAGTATTAAATCAATAATAATGATAATAACATTTCTTTCTTAGCAGTAAATGTGTTTGAGTTGAGGTTTATTTTGTTTTTCGGCATATCAATTCCCATGGGTTATTTAATACAAAAAAGATTTTTACAATAGGTTCATATGAAAAGGATATGTGTTCTTTGTAAGAAATCAGTTTGTAGGTCAAGTTTATTTGACATATTTTTTTAAAGAGTTTTTTTTTTTTTTTTTTTTTGTCGATAGTTAAATGTATTGCTGATAATTTTTTTTTTTCAAAAAGTGTATTGCTAGTAATAAAACTTTTTCCAAAATGTATTGCTCATATTTTTATTATATAAATTTATTTTTATACTTTCAGTGTTTTGACTCCAGTTTAGGGGTTAACAATTTGCCCATAGCTGGGACCCTAACAGGCGCTACCACCGAGGATCAGTGTGGACATCGGAACAACAGCAATTAAGAAATGGTTCCATGTTCCTCAAAATCCCCTGATTAGATACCTTGCTACCGGATGTATTTTATAGTCATAGCCAGGATGCATCATGGGGGAGAGGATCTTACTTCTCTGCAGAGGTGCAGTTAGTGTATCCTGAGGCCCCAGCCGACAGGGTGGTATTTACTCTTGTCTTAATAGTAAGTCTTATCTGTTCAATAAAGCAACTGGCACTAAAGTGATCTAAATTCCGCTGTTAACTTGGTCAAGTAATGGCTTGCTAAATGTTATTCCTCCAACACAAAAACTGATCAATATTAGTCATATGAGAGAGTCAAATCTATTGCTGGTAATTCTATATTCAAAAATTTATTGCAGGTATTTTTATTATAAAAAAATGTTTTTTATGCTTTCATACTGTTTTTGGCCCCCATCCTGGGGGCTAATAATTTGCCCACCCCGAGTCAGTGTGGATCTTGGAACAACAGCATGGTTCCACGCTCCTCAAAACCTTTCGATCAAAGGCCTTGCTGCCAGATGTAGTTTATCGTCATACTCAGGATTAGAATGTGTTTGGTGAGTTTCTTGTATTAGAGACATGCCAATAATCAATCATTCCCTCTAATTGTCTTCCCAGAAGTAGTCCTCACAAGGAAAAGAATGGATACGGCATTTCCTCGAATTGTTAACCAGCTGGGAGTGGAGATAAGAAACATGAACATTGTTCTCAATAATTTTACATAACAAGAGAGAATTCAATATCAAGTCAGTGTCGAATTATGAGTGGAGTTAGATTTAAACTCCGATAATCTCGGGTCGCTTTTTACAGAAACGATCAATCTATAACCGGGCAGCCGAATCGTAATCTTTGGCAATTATAATGAATTTCTTATCTGACCGGCTTACAGTCGTTCTCTCAAGCGGTCAAGCCGTCGACTATTATCACATTTCTGAAAAATCTACTGCAAGGTGACTACGTTTATCAATGTTGAAGGAGAGTAAGCCTTGTGTTGGGGAGAGAAGAGAATGTTTCCCAGAATGGAGAGCGAAGATGGAACGTGAGGAAATGTGACGTAAGTCAAGAGAGAGGCGAGGTAAAGGAAGAAAGATAAGGCAATGAGTTGCGTGATGGGATTGGCTTTTAGGGGTGAGGTAATAATAGTAATGAGAGAGAGAAACAGAGAAAAAAACTGTGCGTCGACTTCTCGGAGAAATGAAAAGAAAGAAAAAAAACGCTTTGCTGGAAAAGGTTACAAAAGGTTTTCTTCAGGATTCCGTACTAAATTTGTCCGTTATGACATCTCTTGTGTAATTGGCAATGTCCGTCTTTTGCTCTAAATAGAATTAGGCGGGCTACATTAATACAACGTTCGAAGAGCACTTTGATATTTCTTACCTGACCGCCGTTTTCTCTGTCATTCACTGTGGCATAAAAGTGACTCGACTTTTATTAAGACAGTGTGAACAGGGAAAGGTGGTTTCATGCAATTTTCTTCAAAGTAATTAATGACAGATTTAGAAGATTCAGAATTAAAATTTGATTTTTAAAAACCGGTCGCATTAACTGAGCCACATACATTTAAGTTACATAAAATTAGCACGCCAAGAGGCAAGTACAAATGAATAAAAATGAATGGCTAAAACGATTCTGTTGCTCCAATACATACATGCATACATATATATATATATATATATATATATATATATATATATATATATATATATATATTATTTATTTAGATTAGAAATATGATTCCAATGCTACATAAGAGTTCTCATGTTTCAAAACAAAGAGCCGAAAACTTCAATATGATTATTTGAATTAAATTGAATTAAAGTATTAAGCTCTGTTCCATCTTCAAGCGAGTTTTTTTTTGGGAATTTCGCTTAAAGATGGAACAGAGCTTAATACTTTAATTCAATTTAATTCAAATAATTATATTGAAGTTTTCGGCTCTTGTTTTGCAACATGAGAACTTTTATGTAGCGTTGGAATGATATTTTTTAAATAAATAATTATATTTAGGCTCTACTTTTGTATCGAGCACTATTTTTTTTAAAATAATAACAAAAATACTAAAGAACTTTGGATTATTTACCTAACGAGTTCTTTCCAATTTTCTATATATTTCCCCCCCCACACACACATATATATATATATACCTTCTCATTATGCTCTGTTCATATCTGTCTATCTACCTCTCTATGTATCACTGTTCATCTCTCTATATAATATCTATCTCTCACTCGTTCTCAGTTTGTTCATATCTATTTCATTCTGTTCATTATCCATCTATCAAACGATCGTATTAATTTGTTCATTATCTATCTATCTATCTATCTATCTATCTATCTATCTATCTGTCTGTCTCTCTCTCTCTCTCTCTCTCTCTCTATATATATATATATATATATATATATATATATATATATATGGTACCTCCAAATGTTCGTATACATAGAGTTTAATTTTAATTTTCATAAAGGAAAAATCCTTTTTCGAAGCTTTCCAACCGCTTCAATTGAAAGCTAAAGGATTAAATTTTCTAATTCCAGAAACAAAAAATACTGTAGAGTATTTCAAATAGAAAGTTGAATCATTTTAATCGATGCTTGCGAGAAAGCAATCAAAACGGCCATTTTTAACTTTTTTTAGACAAATGTAAACGAACTTATTTTTCGGTTTTGAAAATCCCGCTAAAATAAAACATAGATTTCTGAAACAATATTTTCATAAAATTAGCAAATTTAAAGTTAAATTAATCTGTTCTGAAGCAAACATCACTTACTCATAGCATAAATCTTTCTAGACAAGCATTTCTTGACCACGGGGTCTTGTTATTTTCACGTCTCCATCGATAATTTGATGGCTGAATGTGTTGACAGGTTTAGTACGAGGCATCAAAAGTGACATAACGGTTTTTTTTTGTTTCTTATAATATTTTAAAATGCAATAAAAATTTCTTACATGACTGAGTCACCTCTATGTCTTTCATTATTTAATAGCTAAGATAATGATAAATAATTTTATTAATTATTAATATTACATTAAGTTATAATATTTTTAATTTAATAACTGAGATAATAACTAATAAAATTATTATTATATGAGTTATTAATTATTTAAATTGATAAATGATATAATTTTATTATCACAATTTAATTTTTAATTTAATAACTGAGAGTGAGATGAGATCTTTACATGTCAAAGGGCTTTCCCCAAGGAGGAGACAAGATTTGAAACACGTGACCTTTTAACCATAATGTCACTTATGAGATAACATCATAAAAAAATATAACATTTTGACGACTCCAAAAAGTTAATTTTGGTAAAATGTTTTGGTAGCATTATTTGTATTAAGCTTTTAATTTTCGCTTAGTAAATATAGTCTTCATTTAAAAACTTGGTAACCGACCCCACATACTGCTTGAAAGAATTTTAAAACATTTTTCTAAAAGGAAAAATTCCAAGATTCATTTTTGAATAAGTCCCGAAAGTTTCATTAAAATTAAACAATTATTTGATTTTTGCAAGAATTTCCAAATTAATGTGAAACTGCTACACTAAAATAGCCATTACCACAACTATTACAAAGTTAACAAAAACAAATGTAATTTTTTACCCAAATTTAAAACTTGTTAGAAAGAATTAAAAATTTTTAAAAAACATCCTCTTAATAATAACATAAACATTTTAACGATGGAACTTTGTTTTTATTAAGCTTGAGACCTTTTATCATTATGCTATACTGATTTTTTGCGAATTATTGGAGGTATCTAAATTGAAAATATTGAAAATATTCTAAATATATATATATATATTATATATATATATATATATATATATATATATGTATGTATAATAGAATACTTATGTTACTTAACTATACAGATCTCAATTTTAATATATATATATATATATGTATGTATGTATGTATGTATGTATGTATAATAGAACACGTATGTTACTTAACTATACAGATCTCAATTTTAATATATATATATATATATATATATATATATATATATATGTGTGTGTGTGTGTGTGTGTGTGTGTGTGTGTATAATAGAATACGTATGTTACTTAACTATACAGATCTCAATTTTAATCCCATAGAATCACATTCACATTCACTCATCTGGAGATTTGATTGTTAAATATGTTTATTTTAAGAATGAATAAAATAAACACATTTATTCATCTAATATCTTTCTATATTTTTGATATGAGGTACTGTAATTATTTATACTATTTACATTGTTCGGACTGTTGTCTGCATTCTTATCGCCATATTCACGGCGTTTCTGGCGATGTACGCTCCGGCCTTCTTCTGGTGATTGGAATTTTGCACTGAGCCCTTTATTTCGTCCACTGTGGTAGACTGTTCTAGTTCCACGTGCCATGCCTCTTTTTGGGTGTCTCAGTATCAGTTATCTCCCTTTAACTCCAAGTTTTTCTTCTCCTCAGCTGTGGCTAGGTATTGAACTCAGAACTCTTTGACCCAAGTCACTACATTACTTCAACCAACGTTTTCATACACTGGGCCATTCGAAATTCCAATCACCTGAAGTAGTCTGGAGCTTACAACAGCCAAATCGACGTGAATAAGGCAAAAAAGATGAGGGAAATTCTGAATGTCTTTGATAATACCTACGTCCACACATCAATCAGTTATGTGCCATGCGTGATACACTCTTAGGCGATCACGTATCTTTCGATATATGACTGTGGAGGCAGATTTTTCCCGGAATAGGTTGGCACTTTTTTCTGCAGTAGACCAGTTGACATTCATGTATATAGAACCCGGTCTGTCTTGCTATTTACCCATAGCTGGTGGGAGAAGAAGAGGATTCATACCTTTCCGAGGGTATTAGAACGTAAGGGAATGTAATGGATTCGACTGGAATTCGAATACCATATGCATGTAGAAGGAGACGTTGTGTTCCGACTTTCGCTTACTCAGACGAATCGAAATAGAACTTTCAGCTGATGACTGAACTGTTATTTTCGGACAAAAATAGAATTTATAGGATCAGTGTTCGATACAAGATATGAGAAATGTTAATGAAAACAATTTTCTGAATTTCTCATAAACAAAATTATCTGGGTATTTGCTTGAAAAATTTTTCTGTGCTCATGGATGATGTTAGCAGCCATTTTTCACATTTTCTGTATTTTTATTCCCAAGTCCTTATATGTTGATAGATTTTCGAAGATTTTATATAGTACATTGCTATCAGTTGGAGCAGCCATATCAGTTATCAAGCAGATTTGATTGTCTTTATATTGATGATTGCATCAGGTCAATTAGCTTTTATAGATTTAATAATGTCGTCTGCAATGTCCCACAATACAACATTACCTATTTCTGTAGCAAACTCGTGGTGATTTACAATATTTTTTTCCACAATGTTAGGGTCGAGATGATTTACAATGATTTCTTTTCCAAAATATTTACATAATTTCCAATTAATATTTTCTCACGACTGTTTTTGTAATCGATAGGAAGCCAATAATTTAGACTCATGTATCAAATGATCAATTGTATCAACATTCATGTCACAGAATTTACACTGTGGGTCAATTTCTTTTTCTGCGTAAAGTTTGCATGATAGTTCTCTGTGGGGGAAGCACCGGTCTTAAGCGGTAAAAAGGAATCCCAGAGCCTCAGATCTGAGCCCAGAACTGTGTAGATAGTGATGGGTCTAGTTGTTATCAGCTAGTTCAATGCGAGTTGGGTATTATCCACATAGGGGTTTCTCTCGCAATTTTATTTTCTTCGTCAAGTTCTTTTTTTTTTTCATCGTCCTTGCGGCATGAGGAGGTGGATTTATTCAGGATAGAACCCTATTAGAGTTAGAAATGTAGTATGTTCTTTTGAGATAGAATATAGTTTTGTTTATGCTGCGGTAGACACAGCATTATCTGATCTGAAGTTTTATTGATGTAGATTAATTGCTGTTTTCTTATATTAAAGCACAAATTGCATTAAGCCTCGTACACTCTAGATATGTATATCCTTTCTAGATCAGCTTTAGGATTGTACATTACATGAGAGACGAGAAGTTTCCCATTTTTTGCAATCATTCTTTTAATATTCTGCGATTGACAATTAACCCCACTAAAGCTCTACTAGACTAGAGACACTGTTGGTAACTGTTACTTTGTTCCAAGAGTTCAATTCAGACTCACGGATGGGTCTTACACTTTGGCTATATTCTTTTATAAGTTTTTCTTTCATCTGATGATGGATTATCTCGCCATTTTCACTAACGTCGAAATCTCTTCTAGTTAAAGCTCCGTTGTAAAATGACAGTTTCAGTTTTCAGATGTATTTATTTTGGTTTCCATTAAAGTAATTTTGGCACAACTCTATCGCCATGACATTACTAAATCATTTCACACTTTGCAAAAGTCTCTTAAGACGTTTATTATCTTTAATGAAAGGCTTGTGGTTATGTATGTAGAATAGAGTGTTACAGATATTGTCATTAATTTTGTTTCAGTTTTCAATTTTATTATTAATATCGCTTGATACACAGGCCTATATCTTGTCTCAAATATCTTCCAGTATTCCTCTGGTCAACTGATATTTTGAAAAATAAAATCTTTGTTATTTCATATAAGAAGAGTCCTCTATAATACAATGGCATCATTTCGCAAGTCTATAATTTTGGCAATTGTTGTCGAAATAATCTCAAATTTTCACAGAAAGTATAGAAACAAATCAAGATTATATATTTAATGTTTTATTTTTGCTATCTCCATGAGAATCTGCCAGAGAGATGGATCGGGCATGGTGGAGATGAAGACAGTTTACAGATGAAATGGCCGCCGCTGTTATTTCTTTTTATGTGAAGAGACTGGTCTCTGTACCCTCTCTTCCTGTTAGCACTGATGAACTCAAGCAGAGAATCACTTCCGCACTGGATAATGTTACCGGAGACATGCTACAGCGTGTTTGCTAAGAGCTTATCTACCAACTTGACGGGTGCCGTGTCACAGGCTGTGCATATATGGAACACTTATAAAGTCAATTTAATAATAAACTTATGATGTTCAACACCTAAACTGTTCAATTACATTAAGCTAAACTTAGTAGTTTCCAGATAATTGCTTTTAAAATGATGTCACATTTTTGGGGACACCCTCTATAATAAAAATTAAGTAAATCTATTAATTCTTTGCTTAGGTGTTGGTTGCTGTTATGGGGTCCTCCCCTTTTTCATATAAGTGGACTCGACCAAAGTGTTACTTGGACTGCTGCCGTTAAATACCCAGAGTCAGTCAGAATATAGAGAGCAGACAGATTGAGATTGTGATTGAGTTGGAGGTAGAGTAATAGTGTGAGGTAACCGCTTG